CCTTTTTTTAATACTTTCAACAAATAGCGTGACTGTCCAAATTAGCGTGACCCTCTGAATTATTGGTCACGTGATGACAATTTTTCCCTTGGGTCGCTTTCATTTTCTGCATTTCGCATCGTCATCGTACCCTATTATCTCTTGTTTTATTTAATCGAATTTCCTTGGATTCTTTTAGGCAAGGTGAGTAATTTTGCGTTGGTTCTTCAGCTAAACATAGCCACAGATTAATCCAGGCAAATTTTTTTGTCATAGTTTTGCACACATAGGAAGTTTGTATGTGCATGCTGGCCGTTAGATCTACTTGTTGAAGTCCGTCTGAAGAGTTTTAACATCGTCGTGTTTGGTCCGACGTTTGATGGCCTCGGCATACATAATTGTCGCCACTGTCTTGAGCACTGTTCGGTGGTGGGTGTAGAATTTGTGGTGAAGAAAGGAGTTCATTTGTTAGGATTTCTTTCTCTTTGAAACCGTTATAAAGTTCACCAGACAACTTTTGCCGCGAGTATACTTCGTCGGCGAGGTTTTTGAAGACTGGATTATCATGATCGCTTTTGGTCGCTCTGACGCTATAAAAACAGGTAAAATACGTGCGTAAAGGGGTCGTTAGCATCCCATAGCCTGAAACATACGTCGATCGCAGTGAGTCAATCGTTGTCTACGATCAGTTCATGTTGTGAACACTACCAAATCATCATTTGCAATTATTTGTGTGCTGTGATGTCTGGGTCATCATTCATAAATTTTATCCCATTTCCTCCAAAGAGAACGGCCAAAGAGGGAGAGGTTTCATTTGAATGGTATCACTATTACTAGACATACAAGCCTGCGAATGCGGAAATATATTTCCAGTCGTTTCTCGTTACTTTTATTCGGGTGGAGAGATTAAGCGACGGATGTCAAGTTGGCTTCCCACGCAGACTTGCGTTCTTAGCCGATCCGTTATGATTTATTGACCAAATCTGCCCTTCCATTTTGGCCCTGAATCCGAAATCCGGGCAAAAATGTCTTAATTACACGTCCAAAATTAATTAATTACAAGTCCAAAATCCGGGCCCAAAAGATAGATGAATCCGCAATCCGCTGCAATTGCAGGATCCGGAAATCCGTTAAACCTCCACGGGATCGCACAGTCTTGAAAAGTCCTTGAATTTTAGGGGGAGTCCTTGAAAAGTCCTTGAATTTTCTTCACCTTTGAATGTAGTGGCCTGGAAAGTGTTTTTGATGCTTTTTGGTTGTCTAAGACAGAATATCAATCATAGCTCAGAGAATTATTATTAGGTTATTTACATAAAGTGCTCTATGTTTTATGCAATAATTAACTATCAATTTAAGACAAGCAAACAGTTCCAGCCTCAAAGCCTTATTAGAATAGACTGGGAAAGTGCATTTTTGTACAATCTGTGAAATTATATTCCTAGTAGGTGGTCCTTGAAAATCTAATGTGGTCCTTTAAAAGTCCTTGAAAAGTCCTTGAAAAATGGTTGCATTTTTTTGTATGAACCCTGATCTCGCTTTGAATCCGAAATGCGAGCAAAATATTTTCAAAATTCGCCGATGCGTTCACCTATTCACCCCCCTCTTCTTTAGGCTTCGTCGAACGTCTAGAACGTCTGCGTGGGTCATTACACCATTAAAAGGTCCACAGCTACAAGTTAAAAACGATAGGTAATCTCACGATAACTTAGGGTCTGGAAGGGTATTTTCGGGATCCGGGAATTGACCAAAACACGGTGCCGAATTCAGGAAAACGGAAAATATCTTTACGGCAAACGGGATTAAACTGCTTTCCGGGAAACGGGATTCATCCCAATTCGGGCGCGGGATGCGGGATTTTCTTACCTGTCTGTTGTGAAAATGCGAAGTCAAACAGGCGAGCGTTCACTGGTGTCTCCAAGTATGAAAGCAAACTATTAAGTGTAATGATTATTTTGAATTTAACTATAATGGTAAAACAAGATCACACCATTCATTTAAATCCTCTGATTGAGACATCCATTAGCTAGAGTAAAGTTTTTTGGCACTCATTCTTTCTTAGAATTATTAAACAGTGGAACGCTCTTCGTAAAGAGATAGTGCACGAACAGAATATCAACATTTTTCGAAGTAGACTTAAAAAGTCTTGTAAAATTTTGTAAATTTTTCTTAGCCATTTCTTAATTATTCTTAAATTTTACATCGTCAGGAGCCGATTATCGGCTTCTGACATTGTAGTATATTTAGCGTCCTCGATAGGGATAACCTGTGACGTTTCCTTTTATGTATCCTCACATAATAAATATTTGATTGATTGATGCCAGCAAAGTACACATGACTTAGTGCTTATGCTCAAGCTCTTTACATTTATTGTGTCTTGAAGAAATAATTTGATCAGTTTAAGTTTAGATATAGCAAGCAGAACGGTGATCCCAGATCTGCTCTCGTGCATAAGACATTCAGAGTTTTGGTGTCGTTATTTCTTGAGTCCTCTGTGAGCAGAAAAAACATCGAGGAGGTTCGGGATTGGGAGTGAGGGGGAAGAAATCCTCCATTTCTCTCCCTCCTAGTTTCTTCTTCCTTTTCCCCTCCGCCTCGTCAAACGGAGGAAATGTTCGTGTACTTTTTTACAGACACTCTTTTCGTGCACTCTTTTCTTGCTTATGGGACCACCCCACCCTACCATTCTCGACCAAAGAGCCAGTGTTTGTTTTCTGGCGAGGGGGAAGCTCTGGAGTCGACAATACTTGCATATCGAAAAATACGCTATTCCAAACAAACAAGATTTATCTCCTTCCTGCTTTTTATCCTTCTTTTACTCTGGTAATGTTTACCTCAAGAATATCTGTTACCCTCAACTTGCCATTCAATTAAAACGCTAGTCGAAACGGCCTAAAAAACAAAAAAATATTATTGTTGTGACGGAAGGTTTTTCCACTTTGAAACGAATTTAAGGCTCAACGGGAACTCGGTGCTTGACTCACGATAAAACTGGGGAAAACTAGACTCAAATGGTAGCTCGCTTGCGGGGAAGAGCTGTCTCACTTCTCCGTAGGACCGGGATCTGACCACTAACTGGTACAGCAGTAGAGAAAACAGAACTAAACTTGGTTCCAACAGCGTTTATTCTTCAGCGGATCAAACAGCAATAACTCGGCTAGGACACGGCGTAATAATCGGCGATGTAATCGGCAATGTAATCGAAAAATCAGTTCAAAGCAACTTACTTATATATGATTTTTCAACCATTGAAGACAAAAGAATACAATAGAAATATAAACAGAAATCACTTAGACTTAAATGAAAACTAAATACAAATTCTATTTTTAACCTGAAATCTTTTGTTACTGTTGCTATTTATTTTAGAAAGTAAAAGTACTGAGACAAAGACCTAGCCAGGTCAGCAAAACAGCGTTTATGTACAAAGTGTTACAATATGAATTAAATTGCAAGTCCAGCTATCGGCTGTTTAAACAGGACAAGCGCAGACTAATTGGAAGTTTTCACCTTAACAAAAACCGATCTAACTTTAAAATTACAAGACAGCAAAACCTTTCATATTCAAAATTCGGTTATCACCTCTCCTTAACTAACAAATATAATTTTGCAAATAAATATAACTAAGTTGCAATTAGAACGAGGTACACCTGTATCAAAGGCGTTACTTTGAATAGATGTCGTCTGGTAGTTAAATCACGAAAAATAGACTGAAGTCAAATAAACCATTATTAAAAAATTAAGTATTCTTTCAAGAGTCAACATTGACATAAAATGTATATAATTGGAAAGGGAACGAGCAATTACTTTTGTTTGTTAAGGAAAACTGTTGGCTTTTCTATGATTATTACTTAGCGAACACAAACAAATGAAACAAAGGAAAGTAAAATGGCACGAGCCTTTTTGCGGGGCTAAAACCTCTTTATGCAAATTCAGTATGAATGACTAAGAACAACGTCAAAGCGAATATTTGAAAGCTATATATGATATTCGGGCAAATAAAGAATTCACGGAAAATCTCTCCTTACATTGTACTACATTTATTCAAATGTTTTTTTAGTTTTCACTGGTTGGTTTTAAAAATATTGCACGTGGACATTATAGTGATGACCTGTCCCTGTCACAGGAATAAAGTGACTGTGCCGACCACATCCACTTTCTTGTACTTTTTTATTTACTTTTGTTATTAATGTACATCTAGGGTTTGAATTAATTTTTTTCTCAAGGATAAATGGGCTGTTTAACAGCATTGAAATTGAAATTGTAATTGTAAGTAACAACAGGGCGGTGCCTTGAATGGGTCTAAGGTCCCGTTTGCACTTGCCCTTTTGGGGATCAGCAATTGTTTTTAATTATTCTTGTAACTATAATTAATTATATGTCTTCTTGTAAATTCTATCATGATTGCATTCTTGCCCCAATCAAGTGTCCAAAAAAAAAAATGGAGCCGGAGATACTTACATCAAATGATAACATACTACTTATCAGTTTATCAGGCCTGTCAGTTTATGATCTAATAGACGCATCCACTCATATAGACGCCTGTTGTCCACCCCCGCGCCAGCCCCCCACGTTTTTACGTGAGAGTCTCTCCCTTTTCTTTTCCTGCTTTCCATCAACCCTCGCTGTCCCTTCAGTCACGTATGCGATCTAAATAGAGTCGACTGGGGACGAGTCATCCCCCCCGTCTATCTCCCACCCCTTCCCACCCCTTAGAACCTTAAACTAAATAAACAAGACTTTAAGCACGTCATGAGCAAGGCACCGGGAAAGAAAGTCGTGTTTGGAGCTTACGCGCGGTCGCTTATCTAACCGAATAGCGTAAAACTGTAGATACTTAGCCTGCCGTCTCTTATTTAACAGAGTTTATAATTAGCCACTACCTTTTCATAATCTTTTGCGATTCCTGTGTTCATCACCCGTCTGTAGTGCACACTTTCAATATGAATAAGTTAACAACCTATTTTTTGACCTGACTAAAAATAAGTTAAAAATAAATATCTTTCACAGGATTGTAAGTTGGTCAGATGGAATACTCGCAAGAGCAACTTAACTACTTCAGACTCTGCTACGTAGGATTTGATTTGGTTCCAGTGGGACTGCGGCAGATTTTCAAAAACGAGTGGGATTTCCTTTATAAAGGAACGTTAATTGGAGAATGGAAAGACACGGCACAAAATGGTCATGATTTCTGCAACAAGGAATCTAAAGCAAGTCACAAGAAAAACGCCCGATGTCTGGCCAAAATCCACAATGGTAACACGGCAGACTGGGACTGCACCTGTTTGTCTTTTGCCATTCTGTACTCGGACAGCATTGGTACTACCTTAAGTCCAGCTGTCCGTAAAGAGGTCGATGATATTCGTCAGGTGCGAAACGCGATCGCTCATATCACCGAGGCTAAGTTGACAGATGCCGACTTCCAAACTTTTGTAGACAGAGTGATGAACGCTTTTACATCCCTTGGTCTTGCTGTAACTGAGATTCAAGAAATAAAGAACCAGACGACCTTCCCAACGAAGGAGGTGGAAAAATTTAGGAAGCAAGTTCGCGATCTCCAAACCGAGTTAGATCAGACAAAAAGCACTCTTCAAAGTACAGAAGCCGCCCTGGTTTCTACAAAAGAAGAAAACAAATCTCTCGCACAGGAAATAAGTGCAAAACTTCAGTCATTTTGCATTCTCGCCCCGCGCCCACCACATGTTATCATTAGGCGCTCGCATGATATTGAAAGAATCACTAACAAAATGGAGGAACTTTACAATGGTTGCAGTGGAGCAGTCAGTACTGTGTATTTGTCAGGAAATCCAGGATGTGGTAAGACCCAACTTGCCCGGGAAATTGGACAACAGCTCTTTTATGAACAAAACAATGATCTTATCTTTGCTGCGACACTGAACACAGAAAGTATCGAGACTCTTGTTGACTCTTACCTCACCCTTGGAAGACACCTAGGGATAACAGAATACGCCTTGACAAGCTTAGAATCTTCAAAAAATGTGAACCCTACTGAAGCAATTAAACAGCTCCATCGCTTGATTATGCCGAAGACCAGCAAGTTTACCAAATGGTTGATAATAGCAGACAATGTGATTGACTTACGCTCAGTCCGCGACTTGCTACCTCAGACTGGTAGTAAAGAATGGGGCCATGGGCAAGTGCTGATTACCACTCAAGATAGTGGTACAATTCCTCAAAACGCTCCTCACACGTATCATAAATCGTTAAGCAAAGGAATGAGACGGGACGAGGCAGTGGAATTGCTGGAAAAAGTATCGCAAATTTCAGAGCGAGTACAAGCAGAAAATGTCGCTGAACTTCTCGATTTTCAGCCACTGGCTTTAGCTGCTGCTGCTTATTACGTGCAAACTGTTGTGACCAGTGGGTCTTCAAATTATAATTGGAAAGCATATCTTCAAGACATATCAACATACAGCCAGCGAAAAAAGACCGAAACTGTCCTTGCTAATGAGAGTTCAGCCTATGCTAAAACAACAATGGCCGCAGTAGAAATGGCAATCCACAGAGCTGTTGAAACAGACGAGATCTTTCGTCATACATTCTCTTTTCTGTCGGTCTGCGCTAACGACGACCTACCACTCGAAACTGTTTTAAAGTTCGTCAAAGCCCAAGTAAAAAACGAGCTGGAGGTTTTAATGAGGGCAAAGATTGTAAAGTCCTCTTTAATTCTTGTTCATTCCGAAGAAGGGGGTGAACGAACTTATTTACGTTTACATAAAGTTGTACATGAAGCTTTAAAACAAGTCGAGATAGCTTACCTGATATCATGCCGGAGGAGAGACCAGACCATGGCAGAAGCGGTAAAGATTTTCAATGTTGAACTTCACGAAAATCATGGGAATTATGCGTTTTGTAAAAAATTGAGGCCCCACTGTGAATCTTTACTTAAGCAGATGACGTCAGAGTTTAGTTTGGATCAAAGCACTTTTTTAGAGAGATTTAAGCCCTTCGTAGATTTGGATACAGTTATTGATTGGCTACATAATCTCGCCTGGGTCTGTCAAAGAAGCTCCTATTTCTTCTCTGCGAAAAATGTAGCCAACTTAGCGTGCGATCTACTGGGGAACTTAGACGACACTCCCACGGTTGCGTTAACTCGTAAATGGAAGGTTTTGAATGTAAGTGGCGAAGTGTACCACAGGCTGGTAGAATACAATCAAGCAAAAGATCTTCACGAAGAAGCACTGAAGATTAGCAAAAAGATTTTTAGTGAAGATCATGCCCATGTAGCAACAAGTTATAACAACTTGGCATCAGTGTACCTCAGCCTGGGAGAATACAATCAAGCCAAAGAACTTACCGAGAAAGCACTGACGATTTACAAAACGATTTTTGGTGAAGATCATGCCGATGTAGCAACAAGTTATAGCACCTTGGCATCAGTGTACAACCGCCTGGGAGAATACAATCAAGCCAAAGAACTTACCGAAAAAGTATTGACGATTTACAAAAAGATTTTTGGAGAAGATCATGCCGATGTAGCAACAAGTTATAACAACTTGGCATCAGTGTACGACAGCCTGGGAGAATACAATCAAGCCCAAGAACTTTACGAAAAAGCACTGGTGATTTACATAACGATTTTTGGCGAAGATCATGCCCATGTAGCAACAAGTTATAACAACTTGGCATCAGTGTACAACAGATTGGGAGAATACAACCAAGCCAAAGAACTTCACGAAAAAGCACTGACGATTCTCAGAAAGATTTTTGGTGAAGATCATGCCCATGTAGCAACAAGTTATAACAACTTGGCATCAGTGTACTACGACCTGAAAGAATACAATCAAGCCAAAGAACTGCACGAAAAAGCACTGACGATTCGCAAAAAGAGTTTTGGTGAAGATCATGCCGATGTAGCAACAAGTTATAACAACTTGGCATCAGTGTACAGCAACCTGGGAGAATATAATCAAGCCAAAGAACTACTGGAAAAGGCACTAATGATTGACAAAAAGATTTTTGGTGAAGATCATGGCAGTATAGCAACAAGTTATAACAACTTGGCACAAGTGTACAGCAAACTGGGAGAATATAATCAAGCCAAAGAACTACTGGAAAAGGCACTGATGATTGACAAAACCATTTTTGGTGAAGATCATGGCAGTGTAGCAACAAGTTATAACAACTTGGCATTAGTGTACAAAAACCTGGGAGAATACAATCAAGCCAAACAACTTCACGAAAAGGCACTGACGATTCGCAAAAGGACTTTTGGTGAAGATCATGCCGATGTAGCAACAAGTTATAACAACTTGGCATCAGTGTACAAGAGCTTTGGAGAAAACAATCAAGCCAAAGAACTTTACGAAAAAGCACTGACGATTCGCAAAAAGATTTTTGGTGAAGATCATGCCGATGTAGCAACAAGTTAGAAGAACTTGGCATCAGTGTACTACAACCTAAAAGAATACAATCAAGCCAAAGAACTTCACGAAAAAGCACTGATGATTGGGAAACAAATTTTCGGAGAGGATCATAAGTAAAAGGCACTGACGATTCGCAAAAAGATTTTTGGTGAAGATCATGCCGATGTAGCAACAAGTTAGAAGAACTTGGCATCAGTGTACTACAACCTGAAAGAATACAATCAAGCCAAAGAACTTCACGAAAAAGCACTGATGATTGGGAAACAAATTTTCGGAGAGGATCATAAGTAAAAGGCACTGACGATTCGCAAAAAGATTTTTGGTGAAGATCATGCCGATGTAGCAACAAGTTAGAAGAACTTGGCATCAGTGTACTACAACCTGAAAGAATACAATCAAGCCAAAGAACTTCACGAAAAAGCACTGATGATTGGGAAACAAATTTTCGGAGAGGATCATAAGTATGTAGAAAGAATTCGTAGTGAGTTGGCATTTTCAGACAAACACCTTAATTGTAAGCAGTCGAGCTGAGGATCGGCACGAAAAGCACTTTGTTTGATCCTATAAATTGTCTTAATTGTCAATACTAGATTGCGTAGCAATCGCCTCTGTCTCCTTTTAGCCAAACAAGGTGATTCCTCTTCTTCCCCGACCCTCCCCCCTGTTCCTGCTTTTTTTTGTTCCTTTTTACACTCCCCGTGCCCTCGCGCTTTTGGTGTGATTTACCCACCCACTCAGCTAAAAGGTAACGGAAACGACTGATACGCAAGAGAGTTGGAGGATCTCCAATAAGTTATTCTTGATCTGGGATCTGGCTGATTCTTCGGCTGAGATACTGAATTTTACAGAATGAATTGGAGAGGGAGACGCGGAATGTAATATTACTATTTCCCTATAAACCGGTTACGAGACTTAGCGATTTAATTCATGACGAGAGATTCGAGAAGTGTTATTGAAGAGAACTAGTATCCCATACTCAATGCGAAAAAAAGATATTGTTCATCATCGAAAATGTGTACAAAGGTTTTGTAGTATCGTTTTATGAATGTACGCGTGCGTGAAAAGATGGCAGGAAAAGTAAATCGCCATCCAGATTCTGTAGTTGATAGACTTCCGAACAGGTATTTCATAATTGACTTTGAGACGATATTGAAAGAGAATAAAAGACGTTATGTTGAGAAATTCACAGAAAGCTGCAAATAAAGAACAATATTGGTTCACGCCCAAAAACTTGCTACAATAAATATTTAGTTTCCGTCATGTAGAAATTTATTTGAGGCATTAACCTTTTTTGTGAAGTACAAAGATATTTCCACACTACCTGGTTATGGTAGACTGCGAGCAGTCTCTCTTTTCTTCAGATTTTATGTGAAGGGAGTTTGCGCGCGAGACGCGAGACCCGAGAAGAAAAAAGAGACAACAGCTTCTCTTTTTTGGTGCCTCTCCCGTCTCGCGCCTTCAGTCACGCTTGGTCGTTTGCGTGTCTCGCGCGTTTTGCTCGATGAACCAAGAAAAAAGAGAGACTGCTCGTAGTCTATGGTTACAGAAAATTGCCATAAACATCTGAAGGATGGGGGACTTGAATGGGCGTTATGTTTCTTTTGTTTATCAGGCAGGAGGAGTAATGAAAAAAAAAATTTGCTGAGAGGTGGGGTTAAAAGTTAAACACCTTTATGCAGATGAGATGAGATGACTTACAAGTGATATTAGCAAAAGGCTTGGCGCATGTTTTTAATCAACACTACATTATGATGAAATACTTTTCTCATTGATGTGTTAACGAACCCATGCCCTATGTTTAAAATGTATAAATCCAAACTTAATTTGCTGATAGAGTTAGTCCTTTTATTCATCAAGTTTTGACTACAGGGTCACTGCTATAGAGAACTTACTATCCTCCTTCTGTGTACTCTAGGACAAAGATATGAACAGCTTCAACTTAAAAAAAGTTGGCCGAGAAGAGAAAAAAAGGGAAAAAATGGGTTTATGCATTCGCAACAACCTTCCCACCCCCCCTCTCCCGGGGACTCCGGAGACTCTGGTTTCACTTTCACTTAGGGTGTTCTGGAGCCCGTTTCTCGAAAGTCCCGATAATTAACGGGCCCGGTAAGCTGTCTCCGTCTACATCTCTGTTAATTGCGACTAATCTCCACCCTGTTTATGCATGCGCAAATACCCCCCTCCCCCCTTTCCCACACACACACACACACACCACTCCTTCCCGGTGACTCCGGAGACTCTTGTTTCACTTAGGGTGTTCATGAGGCTTACTTTAGCTTGCGAAACGAAATGGAACGAAACGAAATGAAAATCTGTAGTTTGCAAAATAAAAATCTGTAGTTTGCGAAATGTAAATCTGCAGTTTGCGAAATGAAAATCTGTAGTTTGCGAAATAAGAATCTGTAGTTTGCGAAATGACAATCTGTAGTTTAGGAAATGAAAATTTACTTTCTCGCTGCGTCTACTCGGATATTCTAAACAGAAATTCCCCCCAAAAAAGCCGTTTCGCCCAGAAAATTCAGATTGCGCGGAATGCGTGACGTTTTCGTTGCCACGTATACAGCTATTTCGAGAAAGGTTGTCGGGAAAAGTGCACGGGACAATCCTGAAAGGCATTGTGGGTGGTTTTGAGTTTCCTTTTTTTCAAAGAAATTTGAAAGAATTGGCACGAAAGGCCATGGAAATGTGTTTGCGAGTGCTAAAGGAAAGCAACAAAAGTAGGTTCGACAGCTACAGTCGTCAGGAACAGCGTATTGATCATATCCCATATTACTTTTCGGGATTGTCGCGTGAACATTTTTTCCGACAACCTTTCTCGAAATAGTTGTAAACTTAATCTCAGGCGCTTTTGAGCGACGGACAGCAACTGGAAGCAAGACCTCTTCCCTTTCTTCCATTTTTATATGCCTTGACGCCACCACATTTGTATGGATAAGGGTCATTACTCTTATAGAGACGATCTGCCTGAAAATTTGCCCAAGAACCGGTACCACTGCCCAAGAATGCAAAAAGTCCACTTCCCGTGGCCGCTGAAACGCATTATCTTAACCAGAAACGTCACGCGATATTCAAACGAACCGATAAAGTACATCATTGTGGCTTTGCTGTTTACTTTCGAACGTGGTGGTTTTAACGTTTTGTAAAGATAAACAAATGCAGGAAAAACAGTATTTCCAGCAGAAGTTTTTGTTGTTTAAGTGTCATTTGACGGCAGGAATTCCCTTTGGAGGAAAGTCAGGGGCACCCAACGAGAAAATAGTTCAAAACCACTTAAACGTATTTTAGTATTTAAATGGTAGACGTAGGCATATTTTTATCCCCTAAAATTTTTCATCTGTTCGGATTTCCTAGCTGAAAGTCTAGTGATCCGAAAATTATAAGGATCAAAACTTACCTTTTCGAAGATTTCAGTCGGAAAAAAGGCTCCCGAAAGTTCTAGGTGACCTTTTTAGGGTAAAAATCTATTAAAAATGGGCAATTATACCCTATTTTAGATGTTCGAAAATCCTAGGAGAAGCAGGCAAGCAAGAAATTGTACAACAAATGTTCCGAAAATTCTAGATCGCAAATCGTCTTCCGAACAGATATTTTCCGAAAATTGTCGTTGGGTGCCCCTGGAAAGTCATTGTTTCTTCTTGATCGCGAAGCTATTCGCCGATAGATAACTGCAGCCTGTTCATCCGACATAAAGAATATCACAAGCAACTAGCTACAAATACAGGCTAGGGAGCCATTCACTACAGCAATCCAGGCATAAGTATAGCTTCTTCTCTAGTTCAGCAAAAGCAGCTGGCGGCTTCAAACAACTTCATAACAACCTTTGCATGAGTTTCTGAATGGCGACCGAGGGGATAGTTTTCCTCTATTGTTCTTACGTTTGCAACTGCGCCAAAAATTCAAATTTCGCAAACTGCAGATTTTCATTTCGCAAACTACAGATTCTCATTTCGCAAACTACAGATTTTCATTTCGCAAACTACAGATTTTCATTTCGTTTCGTTCCATTTCGTTTCGCAAACTACAGTAAGTCTGTTCATGACCGTAAGCCCATATTATTTTTACCTATAAAGGTATTGAATTCTGTCTCCTTTAAGAGCCAAGCCAAGATTGGTCTCCTTTAGAGTTTTTATTTTTGTTTTCCGACGAGCATACGCTTCCTTTAATTTTCTTAAGGATTTCCCTCCCTCCACGGGCTCCGTACCCCGGAAGATTCTCCCTTCAGGCTTCAGGTACATCAAAGGATAGGGATTTCACTAGTTGAAGTGTAGAAGGGTAGGGAAATCTGTCATTTGTGTCTGTAAAAGGGCCCAAAAGGGCTGACAGATGAAACTTATGGCTTTATTAAGTTGAGAAAGCATTTTATTTTTGAGATTGATTCCAGTGCATTTACAGCAATAAAAGGGATGCAAAGTTCTAAACAGGGTATGTGAAAGGGGTACCATTTGTCAATAGAAGGTGTACTAAAAGGGGTACCTTTTTCGTGAAATGGTATGTAAAGGGTAAGGAGTTGGACCTCGGTGTGGAGCAAACCTCCCCTCTCCCCCTTCCGAAGGGGATCTGTACTTTCAGCAAATAGCGTGACTGTCTAAAATAGCGTGACCCTCTGTATTATATTGGTCATATGGTGGCAATTTCCATCAGATCACTTTCATTTTCTGCAGTTCCGCTTGTTCATCGTATCGTGCTATCTCGCGTTTTATTAAATCGAATTTCCTTGGATTCTTTTGGGCAAGGTGAGTAATTTTGCGTAGGATATTCAGCTTAACATAGCTTCAAATTAATCGAGGAAAATTCTTTTGTGATAGTTGGGCACAAAAGGGAGTTTTGTACATGCTGGCCGTTTCCGTCTGGAGAGTTTTAATATATCGTCGTGTTTGGTCCGACGTTCCATGGCCCCGGCATACATAATTGTCACCACTGTCTTGTGTCCTGTTTGGTGCATGGTGTAGAATTTGTGGTGAAGAAAAGAGTTCATTTGTTATGAATTCCTTGTTCTTCGAAACCGT